GCATATCTAAGGCAGGTAGCGACTTGCAAAGCACGCGGATTAGAGTTTAAATGATTGAATTGATATCTCCACAATGAGGAGCTATTGACAGGGAGAGTGTTCGTGAGAGTCGAGATGCCCGACCTTGCGAACTGGGTTGCTGCTTCACGCAGTCTAGAAAAATCCGCATGCGATACTCCATCATCGTAGGTTGCTAAGAAGGAAATAAAAAAAAAAGGTTGGTGAATAAACCAGCATACTGATGAACGGAATAATAGAAACAGATCATGGTGTCTCTCAAAGCTCTATTCTGCTGGAGTCGTTGGCAATGATAATGCCACAGAAGAGAAGCGGAACGGCAGGCGTGAGCCTCATAATATGGTCGAGTCCGGTAGAAAGAAGCTCTTCATAGTCTTCTTTCCCTCGGCTTTATGTCTACTTTTAGGCCGTCGTCGAATCTAATGCCCAAGAGACCGTTAGTTGGCATCTCACCGAGTGATGAGTCTGTAACGGACCTACGATTTCCCTTGCTTCTGGCAGTTGAAGCAAGTGCCATCTTGGCTTTGCGGCTTGTCTACGACACCTCCGCAATGGCCGTGAGAGCTGCACGCATATACAGGCCGTGTCTCGGTGCAGCCACAACCCCATGTGATGATAACTCTGGAGCACATTTTGGCTAGAGAAGGAATCTTCTCCGTGGAAAAAAAGGGAAGAGGGAGAAGAAAGAGAAGAAGAGTCGAAGCTGTTGTGAGAAGGTCTCTTCGGCCGCGAGCGGTGGGCTTCTAAGTGAGGCTTTGTTTTTTCTGCGTGTAAAGCTCGATAGTGACGGGCGAAGACTCGTCTTGCAATAAAAAAGCTAGACGAAGGACTGGTTTCTTAGAGGTGACTGGTAAGAGGGATGGTCTCGTATGTTGTATAGTTGTTGTTCTGGCTGGATGAAGAGTGTATTGTTTGGAAGCTCGAGTCAGGATATGTCGTCTGTCTTATATATCGTCGTGACACAAGCTCAAGACTGGCTATTGGCTTGAAATCGACTGTCGGGAGTGGGCTGACTTGTTTGCCATCGTCAAATCTGCCAGTCAAGCGAAGGAGGACCAACAGGTAGCTATCACACCGGTGATGCCAAATGTAAGTAGACGCAGCTTGGCTGTTGGTTGCTCGCCAACGCGTCAAAGTTTCTCTGTTCTGGTGTTGGAAGATGCCAGTCGGGAGATAGTGGTGCGTCAAGCGTCTGTCTGGCAAGTCTTCAAGTTGACGCAAGGGAGGGCTGTAACTTGGTGGAGGAAAGTAATGTGGAAGATGCAACGGGTCGTGAAAATGGCTTGTACCTTGCAAGTCGATGTACCTGGGAGAGATGCTGGCTGCGGGTGCGGACCGGGCAGATGGGTTGTTTGATCCGCCCCTTTGCAGGAGGTGGTCGACAAGCTGCCTGGTTGTGGAGATGCTTTGGCGGCCGTGGAGAAACCAGCCTAATCCGACTCAGCTCAGGCCGTTGGCTCTCCCGCACAGGGCTAACAAGCACCCGTGTACTTCCAACGCACAACGGTGCAATGGTTGGTCGACTGGGTGAAAGATTCTGGCCTGTCTTTTTGCCCTTTTGATAAGTCGTACGCTAGTTCGAAATGAGACGTGATAGCCGGGTACTGTCCCGCCTTGTTGTGTTGGTAAGACCAGGGTATCACGCAGGCGGCCTTTCTGGAAGACAATGGGTGTTGTTGGACGTGATATCCACTTAGAACGAAAGAGCCCCCAATATGCACCTCAGAGGCGCAGCCCAGCCAAATTTGGGTCTGTTGACGCAATGTCTCGTTTTTCTGGTGTTCCGTCTCGAGTGCTGTATGGGCAACGCGTGACCCAAGATGTTGGTTTCGACGACTACGTTACTGAGCCGGCTCAACGTCTGGCAGGTGGTTCTTCAAGAGTCTTTTGTGGTGGGCTGCCAAGGCATGACAATATCATCCAAATGTAGTTTCTGGAGAGGTTGGAAGAGGAAGAAAGAGGAAGCGAGAAAGTGTGTGTAGGGGAGAGAGAGACAGAGAAAGAGAAAGATGGAAGACGCATGTCCTCAGCCGCCCCGCCCGGTTCAATGACTGACTGGTGACGGGTATTCGGGGCAGGGTAGGGCAGGTAGGTGCACCTCTCGTGTGTTCCCATTGTCGCATGGCACCCACTGGCCGCACTTTCTATTGGGGAACGTGGGAACACAGAACATCGGCCACTTGGACCAGGGATAGCTTGGCGTGGCAGCATCAGCAGTAGCAGCAGCAACCAGCACTGAGCTCTGTGCAGGGCCTACTGGTGCCGTGCCGTATGGTCAGTCCCCTCAGCGTGAGGTAGGGCAAGCATAAGTGCCTACGAAGAATGGGTGACCCATGTCCCTGTCTTGAGTTGTGATTGTCCTCGACCTGATGGTGTCGGGAGACCCCTCGTGGACAGTTAGTTCCTAGTGCGTCCCAAGCCGACTTCACTGTCAAGCGTAGAGATGAGCCGCTGTGTTGAGTGGATCGTTCAGACGATGTCGCACATGAGCGATCCGCGTCAAGCCCTGCTTATTAGTCTAGTTTGGGCAAGACCGTTCCGTTGATGGCGCCCTTTGTGTCCGCCAAAGCTAAGGTATTTCCCATCTATCCGTAATGCGCTGCCGATTCTCTAGGCACCTTGTCCTGATCATAAGGGCGAACAGGTACCGTTAGATCGCTCGCGGATTTAACTCTCCCTGCCGGAGTTACTCCAACCCACAGGGGGCAATGCTACCGCAAGGAAGACGTTAGATTGAACATCAGCTTGTCCAGACACGAGCATCCAATTCAATGATGGAGCCGCACCACAGGCAGGCGTAGAGGCACTGAGATGCTCCTCCGCTCCGAGTTGGAACGGCGGAGAGTGCAAGTTGGGGGTCAAAGCAAGCATGCTACTGGGACAGACAGCCATACGACAGCGGCATGAGGAAGTTACAGTAGAACAGCGGCCGCTTTCAAACGAAGTACTTGATTATGACCCCGTCTGGCTACATTTCAATTTGGATCAAAGAAGCAGAGACAAAAGGTGTCAGTAGAATGGTCGATCGAGCTGCCGGTCGACGTATTCATCGATATCCGCATCAATGTCCCTGACCAGATTGCCAACCCTGCTCCAGCTGAGTCCATGTTCAGGCCTGGGTCCAGGTCCAATTCCGCGTCCAAGTTTAGGTCCCGGGATAGGCATAGGGTTCCTGAGGCGAAACTGAGTCCACGTGGAGTAATAAAGGTAGTTCGGCGGCGGGACGCCTTTTCACCTAGACGTATCCGTCGTCTCGTACTAAACCCTAGACGGTCCATCATGTTCGTGACGAATTGAAGACAGCAGAATTGTGAAAACAGGACAGTTCCCTAGATGAGAACGGGCGCTGGGACAGGTCGTAGTGACAGTAGTAGAGCGAATGCCACGATTGACCAGGGGTTCACATAAAAGAGTGGAGTCGACATCTGAGGCGTGGCTCTTGCAAGAAGAAGATGCCAAGAGGAAAGGTCGTCACGTCCCTCATCGGTCCATGTTCTTGTTGTTCCTTGCGGAGGACAGAATACGCCACATAGATCTATGGCCAAGACCAGGACAGCCTAATGAGGTTCAAATATGGGCCGGCTGAGGCTAAGAGCGGGCGAAACTCGGCTCGGTTGGGGTCGCCAGACTTGTCCGTCGGGGTGCTCACGGTGTGATGTGAGAGTGCAGGGGCGAAGGATGTGAAGTGCCCGTCTGAAGGTGTCGGGAGGTTTCCTTGTAGCCAAGGACGGCGAGGGCGAGGCGAGTGCAAACCCGAAGCGCGATGCTTTCAAAAAGGAGAAACCTTGACCTTGCGCAGATGAGATGCAGAGAGGGAGGGCATGCCCGCCGTCAGGGCCCGAGGAAGCTAAGCCGGCCATAAACGTGGCCAGCGACAGTGTCCGAAAGAGCCCGATGGCTTGATCGGGGGGCACATGGCGTTTCCTGGGCTGTGGCTGGCAAGGAATGAGAAACCACTGACCGGGTTGAGTTGATGAACTAGGTAGCGGTGGTTTGGGTTGGGATGTGTGGTGTTGCCGTTAGTGTGGGAGAGAGAGAGAATGGAGGAGTATCCGTAGACGGGAGCAGAACGGAGTAAAGCAGGCGAAATGAAGTTGCCAATTCGGGACAGGCTACGCACTGTAAGATATGTCGTAAAGTGCGGTGAGAGGACAGTGCGAAAACTGCATGAGGCATTGGTTCGGTGTTGGTGAGAACTGACCGAGTGGACAAGGAAGCAAGTGACAAATCTGGGCAACTGCATTTGTGAAATGACCTCGATGTGATTTTGTTGAATTTTTTCTCCCTCTTTTCTTCCTTGAGCACTCTTTTGCTGCTCTGCTCTGCTCTGCTCTGCTTCTTCCTTCCCTGCATCTCCCGAATGTTGCTGCTCGTCCCTGTCATCTCGCCTGCCACTTCCTTTCTCATCACCAACCACAGTGATTTCGTTGGCCGTCTTTTTCAAACTGCCATCAAACATCCCATCTTGCCATTTGGAATGGTTCGTACAAGTTCCCAACGGCAAAGTATTGCACTTCGAATATTGGCACGGAAGCAAACCAGTCTCCGCCTTTTCCATTGTTGCCGTCAGACGATGCCAACACAATGTGCTCCACGTCTATGCTTTGCGTCCCTATGTCGCCCTCGTTTCCCCCTTACCTCTCTATCCCTTTACTCACTCATGTTCAATTCCCCCTTCATCTCCAGCTTCTACTCGATGGCTTGTCGTTGAATTTGGCGAAAAGGAAAAAGGTACGTATACTGTCCTTTTCTCTTTGTGTTTGAGGCGGTTGAGAAATGTGTAGGTTTCTTGCGTTAGAGAATGCAAGCCACCATCGAATGAGGAGGACTAGGTAGCAACTTAGCCTTTTTGAGATGAATGACTATACCATATAGTTGAGGTCATCGCGCCAACGTCTCCAGCTAGTCGGATTAGCTACGCACTATTTTAGTGCACCTCGACATACGTCCGTATGCTAGATTAACCAACTCCCTCTCCGTAGGCTAAGCTGCCTCGACTTATCCTTCAGTGTTCTTCCGGTCTGAATCTCTTCAAAGACCCTGCCGAATTGGAGCTAGCCACTATAATACGGCCGTTGGTACAGTCTCGACTGCCCGCTCAGCCTGTTGATGGCAAGCCTACTGTAGAGCTGGACGGCTATTCGAGCAGTCTTCACTCCGTCTCCGATGCCAACGGCCCCGTATGCCAAACGGGGCTTGTCAGAATCATACACACCATCATACCTCGTCACTCTCCCGTCTTCTGCGCCTTTCGGAAAATGTCAAGGGACTCTTCATCGGCGTGGCGTGCTGATGCAACAGCACCTCATCGTCAACGGCGTCGCAACCTAAGGCACAATGCGAAATAGTCGCAACGGTGGCGCCTCTCAACTCCAAGTCCGAGCTGGCAAAGTACCTCGAGCCTGCAAGCCACACCCTCTTTCTCGTAAATCGAACCATTAATGCCTGCTCCTGCGTCCCGGGCAAACCGAGGTGAGGGGGCGCGCTCGTCCACTTAGTCTCCTCCATGGTCGTCTGGAGGCGAACGTCATGGCAAACCACCGTTGATGAAGAGTAACCCCGACCCCGTGGATACCATGTATCTGGAGCACTGGCTATGTCATCTATGTCCGAGTCCTGAGAAGAAGCTGCTTCACCGCAAGACCCTCTGGCCCACAGTCAAGGTGATGTATTGGTTCAAGTGCTGGGGTTCCCAGCTTGCTAGGACCTTACCACTGTACCATACGGGACTCCAACACACCACAGGGTCTTCATGCGGCCTTGCGCGCGGCCTATCATTACCGACAGTTTGACTAGGCAAGCATCTTTGAACACCCCAACACTCCTTGTGCCTGCAGCATACCTCACATGGCCATCTGGCCTGCCAATCATTCCGAACAATGGGGTACCGCACCCCTTGGTCCCGGTCGCCTCACTTCCATCGATGTTCGATGGACTGCCGTCCTCCTCTTGAGCCAAGAAAACTTCCCCCTTGGGCACGTCACTTGTGGGAAGCCAAGTGGTTAGTCCAGCTAGGTACACCGATTTCATGGCGGTGAAAGAGACCTCGTTCCCCCTTTTCATACCCGCCTAGAAATACGACATCTTGGGCCAGGAGATCTCTTCAATTCCAAAAGCCCATCGCAGCCCAACGGGCTCATATTCGGACCAGACCCTGTCCAGTCAGCCCCTGTAGGTAGACTTGTTTGTTATGTAATCTAGATGACGGGCTTGAGGTCTGTTTAGCTACGGGTCATTCTAAAGGTGAGTTGACATCTCAATGAAGGAATTTCTGCATCAACTCAAATACTCCCTGCTTGCGCTCTCTTGGACAAGGGGGCATACATTTGTCATGACCAGGCAACGAGACGGACATCGGGACGACTTGATAACCGAGTGCCTTCGACACGCATATCTTTCACGTTCTTGACCACATCAGGAAAGGGCAAGACGTTATCCCATCACTTCACAGTCGAGCTCCGCAACTTCTTCTCTAGGACTTGGAGAGCAGATACAGGGGTGTTTTTGCGAATTATTACACATCTGCATATCCTTTTTGCAGGGCTTCACTCACGACTGGTATCGAGTTGAGTATTGACAAGATGTACCAACATCCCTGTCCGAGTGAGCATGCAAGTGGCGGCTGGGCAGAGCTCGTTTATGATTACGGGTGCCGCCATTCACAACCAACTGGAACACTGTCGCGGCATGAAAGCAAGACGGCACCATCAGGCGCCATTGTCGACCGTTCCAACAGGTTCATCGCGGGAAAATAAGCAGAATGCCCCGCGAAGTCGAGCATGGCGCAGATGTTGTTGTTGGACTGTCCGTCGACGAAGCGGGCGAGGTGTGATTGAGTCGCATGCCAGCCAATCACCAATACGAACCCCCCTGTTATAAGCGCCTCGTGGGACTCGCGGCTTGGCCCGACTTGACTGACGACCACTCATTCTTCCGGTAGCCGCCCATGACGGCGGCTCAAATTCAATAGCGTTCGTCCAGACTTACACGCTTTTTGCCGCAAGAGTCGACCGTTTTTCAACTTCTTGCCAAATTGCCAGCGAATCTCACGCGGAAAGCGTAACTGCTGCAGATGGTCAAGTTGCAACGCAATACTTCGAAAGCGGTCACTCGACAGGGGTGCTTGGGTGTTAGTCCCCTCGACAGGACAATATGGAGGGGAGATCAGGAAAGGTCAAGGAATCCGTAGGTCTTGACCGGGCATGCGGGCATGGTCCAGATGACATCTGCACCTTGTCGGTGCCCGTCACCAACCGGGAGTCATCAGCTCCTAGCGTTGATGAAGCATATGCGGAAGGACGTATCCGTAGGAGACGGACTGCGGATGTTCTAGCGGTCAAACTCGCTCTATGGGCCGTTGATCCCGATGTAAGTTACCTCGATTGTCCTGCCCCCTATCCGTACCAAGACCACATCAACATGGTACTAACCCTGATCAAGGGTGGATATCATTCATCACAGCCCGCGGATGGATGTGCCTCTCCCCCTGACGAAGGTTTCCACACACCTTCTAGGAACGGAAAGGAAGCTGGACTGCCATTACGCATCCCTGGAACGATTCTCGCGAAGTACCTTTCTTCGTACAGTACTTTGGCCATCCACACGCAACTTTCCCATCATGTGTCCACTAATGCAAGTTGGAATCACCCAAACTGCGGCGCATTTGTGACGAAGATTTGAGGGGAAGAGTTGCAGCAGCAGCAGAAGCAGCAGGCAGGCAGTGAGGTGCCTTCTCGTGTTGGTGGCAACACTTCGTCTTCTCATGCAACGTCTCGATGCTTTCCCCCCATCACCGCTTCTTTCACACGCCATACACGCCATGCACACCACCACAGCCCATGTCGTGTTACCTCACGCACCGCAATCACCTCTCTCTCCATGCCAGGGTTCACGATGGATTCTGCGGGCGGCCCGCTGGTCGCATGCGAGGCAGGCTTGGAAACCCTTCTTCGCCAACTGCCTTCGATAGCTTGGCTTGAAGCTCGATCGAGAAGCGGAGTCGTATCGGTTGACTTCAAGGAACCCTGGCTCTCTTTCTCTGGTACGACGACCTCCGTTGGAATACCCCCTCCGAGATTACAGAAAGATATCGAGCAACGGATTGGGCCTCTTGGGGAAATGATTTGCCTTTTGGAGCTGCGGTCGAGGAGGGAAAGAACACGTTTGCGGAAGAGGGGATGAGAGTCCCTTCGGCCCGGATGAGAGATGAGAGACGAGGAGAAGGGGGGAACGGTGGAACGAGGCAAAGGTTTGCCTAGGGAATGCTTGCTAGAGTCTGGTCCCAAAGTCAGCATATTCTTTGTCTCCAAAACCCGGGCTGTGTTTGAAGGCAGCAGAAAACAAGGCACTGTCCAGAGAAGTCTTGTTTGAAATACGTCAGGGTTTGTCCTCCTTGTTGTCGAAAGAAAGTCTGGAAAACATGACGAGCGAATGGGTCAAACGGGGCGGTGTCTGTTCCTTGATGGCAAGGAGTAAAAGGTACGAAAACCTCTCAGCTCGTTTCTCTTCACCATCCAGAAGACAGGATGCCATGGTATCTCCCTTCTCCTCCGGCGTTTGCCTCATTCTCCCTTTCGCTTTGTTCTTTGCTCTTCCTTTGCCTTCTACATTGAAAGGCCTCTGTCTGCCCAGGCGGGATTAGAACACCATCAGGGCTAACACAAGAAGAAACGTTTGAAGTCAAACGTTGATCGCGGGGAAAACACCAAATCATGAGCAAGACACTCACTCGTTGGACTGCACCCCGCGGAAGGATCAAAATGCTATTGCTAGAGAATATGCAAGCAATGGCGATCTCAGGATTTTGCCTTCTTCCCTCCCGAAACGCTCGTTGAATCCTACGAACTACACACACCACATGGCACATGGCTGAAGGAGCAAAGACAAAGCCAGAAGGATCTGAACCCGCCCGCGCCCGCGCTCTCGCGCCGCGCCGCGCCGTGCCACAGCGTGTGTGTGTGCTCTCCCGCCGGGACACAGCAGGAACCAACGGGCGGGTTCTAGCCAGCGGCACGGTGGTGATGACGGGCCGGCTAGTCTCGGGGTGTTGTGTTCACTTTGCCGCAGACTGTGCCCGGCCGAGTGCGAGCCAGGCAGAGTATGATACCTACGCTTGGATACCTTGTACCGAGGCCCAAGAGGAAAACGAGGTATCCATTTCTTGTTGCCAACCATGTGCGGGGGAGAGTGACAGAGTGTGAGAGAGAGAGAGAGAGAGAGAGGGTGTTGCCGAAGGTTCTCGGATGCGGAAGGATGAGGAAAGTCACGGCGTTGAACGTCCCCGGCGTCCCCCGCGAATTTCCCCCACCTCGGCGTCACATCCGAAAGGATCCATGCAGTGACGTTGGCTCCTTTTCCCCGGATCATGAGATGGGCAATTTGTGGTCGGGTTGTCTTGCGATGGATCTGGGTTTCGTTCGCTGTTGCCCTTAGAGGGAGGGAAGGAGGGAAGGCCCCAGCGCCGGTTCTCGTGGTCCCTTCCGAGAAATCCTCTTGCGGCCTCCGACGCGGCCAATGAGGAGCCACCCGCTCCCCGGGACCCGGGGCAAGAACCTTGGCCCCCTTCGGCTTCCTCCTCTACTTTCCCAATCCATTCTCGAACGACGTTGGAGAATTGGGAAAGAGCCTCAATTGGGGCCGACCGAGGCTTTCTCCACTTTCCCCGGATATCCCAATTGTTCTCGATATCAGATCTGGTGATGGCGAGGGCATTCACAACACAACCACAAACTTGGTCATCTTGAGCAGGTTGCGGCAAGCCTTCGCGCCTCCCATGTTCCCCACGCCCACTCACGACTTTGGAGTACCCACACTCTGCACCAACCCCCTGCGCCTTTCTTTACTTATTTTTATTTTATTCGCAGCGAGTTTGCTTTTTTCGCGGCGGCCGCGGCGGCGGGTGTCTCGCTTTTGTTTTTCTTTCCCTCGCTTTCAAGCGCACCAACCCCACGTCAGCTGCGGATAAGGCAAGAGAGACCTCACAAACTTCTCCAGCGCTGCTGTCGCGACATGGAGCTCAGCCAATTACAAGTCCACGTGCAACAACGTTCCCGCTCTGGAAGCTTCAGGATGTCTCTAGCTTCTGGGTCTGGATGCAAGTTTCTAGAAAAAGCCACCGAAATAATTATTAAACCCCCCTCCCCAACAAGGGCCGATTTGATACTTGGTTGATAAGGGTTTCAGAAGCGACCGCAGCAGAAAGACTGTGGAGGCCCGTATTTCCTATTATTTTTGTCTCATTTGGTTCCTCCTTGTCTCTGGACCTGGACTATCTCGAGGATTCTAATCCGAAAATCTCATGCGTCTTGGCGGGTTTAGGAAACTTCTCTGGATCTAAATGCGTGAAGCAAAGTCACAATACGCCCCCCCCCATGGCCGCCCCGAGGAGTGACTGAGAGTTGAGACGCTCGGATGCCCAACCCCCATTCATCTGTTGCAGAACACCTCAATTCAAGCGCGATAAGGTCGAAAGCGGAGCCATTCGCATAGAAACATACCTTGCGGAGTAGAAAATCAAAATTTAGATCTCTTGGCTGGACGAGCTTTTTGTTTGAGAAGATCAAAATACAACACCATCCCGGTCTACCCACGGCGCGCGCAAGAGTCTTCGGTCTAATTAATTGATTCGTACCCTTTATGGCACCTTACTAGCTTGTTCTACTACCCACCGCAAAGAGTCTCAGGCAACTCTCTACGACGACGGGTACGGAGTATCGACATAACAATAGCACATCATTTTTGCCCGTGCATGTGTCATGGCTTTCGAGAAACGCCAGATCCCGGCATTTCCTATTTTGTGCAATGCCTGCTCGTTCTGGACCTGTGACTATCGTATTGCCCGCCGCAATCACGCCCTCCTCTGACTTCTTACCATGGCGTTACCGTAACATGATGTCTCTGGTCTGTGTGTCTCTGTACCGCCTGCTGCGTCGTCCAAACACAGTCGCCCTCTGCCCACACGGCCGATCCGGGAGATGCACCTTTGCTGCGTACGACGCGCGCCATACACAATTTCTCATTTCTTGACAAGAGCAGTGCACGATAGGCAGCGTGCGATACGATACGATGCGGTGACCTTGCCCCTCCCCCTCCCTCCCTCCATGTCCATCGTCCGTTCCCCCCCCTTCCCTGTCCCCCTTCTCCATCTGCGACCGAGGACCCCCAGTATCAACCTTTTTCTGTTTTTGTGAGCAAACCCGGCTTGAGACGGCACCCACCGTGTGACCCGGCAAGTCACCCGTCACCTTACCTCTGAAGTCTTGCCCGTGGGCCGGGTGGAAGGGGTGGTGGTCTGCGACCAGGTCAGCCAGGCTCACACCTCCCGTGTCCTCCGGTGCAATCCAAACTTATAAAGTTGGACGGCCCTCCCCCTCCCATCCCTTACCTTTCTTCCCATCTGTATCCCAACGCTCTCATCCTTCCTCGACTCTACTCGCCAAAGCTCTCAGTGTCTTTTAAAAGCAGTTGATCTGTTCTCCCACACGCCGATTGCCAACTCTCGCAACCAACCCGAACCCGCACCAAAAGAAAACAACAACCCAAAAAAACAACATATACAAAAATGTCTTCTCCCGTCGACAACTCCGTCTTCCTCTCCCTCGCCCCCACCACCTCGTCCTCCTACCCCTTCAGACAGCAGCAGCAGGCCGCCGCTGCCGTCACCGCCACCACCACCGAGCCGGCGCCCCTCAAACGCCGCACCTCGAGCATGAGCAGCGACGGCAGCAACGGCCTCCGGTTCCTCAAGCTCGGTCCCGTTCACTACGGCGAGCACCCCGACGAGCACAAGTCTGACTGGCACCCTGCTCTTCTCGGCTAGGACGCTCATTCAACGATGATGATTCTTCTTCCTTGAATTGTTTTTTTTTTCCACATCATTAAAGCAAGCCATATTCATGATTTTTCCAAATCCTATCAAGCCATCAAAGTCTGGATACCAAAGGTGCAGGAAACCGACAAGGCGAGTTTGTGCCCAAAAACAAGCGATTAGACGAGCTAAGGGGAGCTCTGGGAGGATGAGCAATAGGCGCTGGATCATTTTTTTCATTTTCTCTTTATTTTTACATCGTTGAGTACAACACCTGAAGAAAGTAGGGCAGATTGTCTCTTGGGCCGGGAGGAACAACTTCACAACCCCCCATACGATTATAGAGTCTTGGGGAAAACGGGACGGAACACGGGACCAATTCACACAGAAGAAGAAAAAAAGAATACTAAATTGGAGTTTTTGACGGAAACAGATCATTACGTGATGATTCGCTATGCCCGCATGTGCTGAAAGTCCTATTATGTGAGCCTGTTACGATTGCCAAAAGCTGCTGAACTGGACCGGACCGGTCTCCTCTCTTACAACATACAGTCGGCAACAAGCGGACGAAGAAAAAAACTTCGTCATGCAGCCCAGGCTACAGAAATTTGAGGGGACGACTAGTGGCGTGGTGGGCACATCACCTCAGTCTGTCTTTGGCCGTGCCGCATTCTCGGGAAGCCTACGAGTAGGTACATTACACATTGCCGGGCTACGCGGACCAAGGGAAGGGAAGGAGGAAGGACTTTGAGAAGCGAGAGCGACATGGGGTGGGAAGAGAGGGCCAGGAGGCTCGGAGCTATCAAAGTCGGGGGGACGCCAACTCGCCGAGACTTCCCCTGCTCCCTGGAGGTTGCTTGGAAATACAGTCATTGTAACATGACTATCTCTGCGCGCACTTACAAGTTCCAGACAGAGAAGAGAGTGAGAAGGAATGGGAATGCACGACAGAGAGGGGAGGGAAAGGGAGCAAAGACCAAGCTTCTGTGATGTGGGCCACTCTTCATGCAATGATCTGACATGCTAAACCGACCACCCCCCGCTGACCAAGGTGGGATAAGTGGAATGCAGTAGAACGCGTCGTGTTTTGTTAATCCGGGCTGGCGGATTGGGGAAATGATTGCTGATTGTGCAAAGACAGAAAGTCTGGGGGAGAGACAGCTCATCGGCACACACTTTGATTTGCGAGACCTCTCAAAGGGTGTGGGGTGATGGTTTCGATTGGAGTAAGCCGGCACGGTTTTTTGCCTTGATTTGCGCAACGTTTGCGTTTTTCGTTCGTTCGCTGGTCATTCCACGCACGCAAACGTTGTTGCTATCGAGTCTCTGCCCTGTTTGATTACTTGGACTCGTTGCCACGACGAGAGTGCGCGGGTGGAATGGAGGGGGAGGGGGGCACCGAGGGTCGATTTCCTGGGAGGCGGGGGAGAGAGAGAGACAGACATCTGCTTTCGACGAGACGCACGTGGGGTAGAGACTGGGTATCACGACCGGGGTGTCACGGTGCGTTGATTTCCTGGTCTATGCCGAGGCTGAGCGGGTTCGATAGTTTCACAGACTAGTTTTCTCCCCCTTCTCTCTGATTCCTTGGTGATTCTTCTCAATTTTCACAATGTGCCATAAAGGTGGTGTTGTTGTAGGTGGTAATTATGACGTGCAAACTTGGCGTGGATAGAGAAGGGTTGTATCAAAGTCTAGTCTACCTTAGAGTTTCTCTATGAAGGGGGGGGGGGGGGAGGGGACTCGGGAGAAGGGGGAGGTTGCTTGCACCTGGAGTTTAATCGCAGTCGCGCAAGAGACTCGGACTTGGTTCGCGAAATTCCCGAGGGGAGGGTCCTGCTGCTGAAGAGTGCCAGAAGATAACTGAGAGAGTTTCGGAGACGACTCTGGCACTTATGCGGACGTCATATCTGGTTCGCCTGTCTGCGAGTCAAGCTCTTATCTTGCGTGACCGACTTGGGGTTTACCTTGCTTCCTGTCTAGTCTGGCAATTTTGGCTAGATTGTTTGGGATGCGCGCCCAATCTGCCCTTTTGCACACACACGTATTTCACTGGCATGTTTTGTTTGTCGGCTTCTGCTCAATCTCCGACACGCTGGTCACCTGTCACCGTTGTCAAGTAAATGAAGAAAGCGAAAAGGTTTAGGTGGGACGAGAAGCAAGATCGACGGGGCTTTGCATCTGGCATGTGACCGCCCTTGGCAGGCCTGCCGAGCCCTTCAACCCTGCTTCGCAATTACCGCTTCTGGAAAGTCCTTGGGCTTCAGGTTTGACACAACCCGCGACTGAGTCGAGTTGAGAGGGTTAGCACCCGAGGCCACCATAGGCGAGAAAGAGATGAGCGAGAAGCTCTACGGATTGTCCGTGGATGATACAATCTGAGCCTCTGTTGACGTCACAAACGATGATGAGACGAGTTGTGTGCCTGCCTGTCTGCCTGCCTGCCTGCTTGTCCAAATATATGCTGGTACTCGTTGGCATGTGGCATCTTATCTGGGACTTGACGACTGTACCTATCAAGGTGCCCCTTGAACGGCGCACAGAGAGGGTGAAAGAAAGC